ATTATATATATAATATATATATATATATATATATATATATATATATATACGCATATATATTTTTTTTTATACGCATGAATGAAAAATCCGAAAGGGAAAACTGCGGCAACCTTCGAATACTTTGGAGTGGGAAACGTCAGGGAGGAGAGGGAAGGCAGCGAGAGGGGGGAGGCGGGAGGGAAAGGTGACCGATATAAAAGCTGACACATTACAATTCATCAACAAGTTGGTAAGCGGCTTCACCTCAGCTAACATCGCCATGGTGAGAACAGTTCATGAAGAGACGGTCTCTGTTTCCTTTTTCTTTTGCATTTTCGCAGCCGCTAATGAGCTGAACTGACGCAGCAGAGATTTAAAAATTTCAGCGCGAGTTTGATCCTGATATTGTTTCTTCCAGAAAACTGCTCTGATTGCCGTGTTGGCGGCCACCCTGGCGGTCGCCAGCTGGGCTGCTCCGGAGGCCAGCGGAGGCTATGGCTCTGGTGGAGGTGGAGGAGGCTCCTTCGGTGGGGGAGGAGGTCATGGCATCGGTGGGGGTGCAGGAGGATCCTTCGGTGGAGGAGGAGCAGGGGGATATGGCTCTGGAGGAAGAGGAGGAGGACTTGGCTCCGGAGGGGGAACTGCGACCATCAACTTCAATCTTGGAGCACCTAAAGGCTCGTCTGGCGGAGGCCTCGGAGGTGGACACGGAGGCGGATCCAGCGGAGGATTTGGCGGAGGCTTCGGAGGTGGTTCCTCAGGTGCATACAGTGGAGGTTTCAGTGGAAGTTTCGGAGGCGGTTCCAGTGGAGGCTTCGGAGGTGGACACGGAGGCGGTTCAAGTGGAGGATTTGGAGGTGGTTCCTCAGGAGGATACAGTGGAGGTTCCAGTGGAGGTTTCGGAGGCGGTTCCAGTGGAGGCTTCGGAGGTGGACACGGAGGCGGTTCCAGTGGAGGATTTGGCGGAGGCTTCGGAGGTGGTTCCTCAGGTGGATACAGTGGTGGTTCCAGTGGAAGCTTCGGAGGTGGTTCCGGTGGAGGCTTCGGAGGTGGACACGGAGGCGGTTCCAGTGGAGGATTTGGCGGAGGCTTCGGAGGTGGTTCCTCAGGTGGATACAGTGGTGGTTCCAGTGGAAGCTTCGGAGGGGGTGGAGGCTTCGGAGGTGGACACGGAGGCGGTTCCAGTGGAGGATTTGGCGGAGGCTTCGGAGGTGGTTCCTCAGGTGGATACAGCGGTGGTTCCAGTGGAGGCTTTGGAGGCGGTTCCAGTGGAAGCTTCGGAGGGGGACATGGAGGCGGTTCCAGTGGGGGCTCCGGCGGTAGCTCAGTGGGAGGAGGATACGGCA